TTCTTTTTATCAAACTACAGGTAATTACTTCAGTAAAACTACCACAAGAGTGTTATGTGCTGCTCTCAGGTCATTAGCACATGCTAGAGGTGAACACTGAGTATAGCTGGCTGCTGAGACATGTTAGGCAGAGAGATTTTTTTAAAACATGTATTTTTAAATACTTGGGGTTTTTTGTTTACCAGAAAATGTAAAGCTGGCAGACCACTCAGCTATGGGTGTAAACCTTAAAACTGAAATCTGCTCGGTTATCTCCCTAGCCAATTTTCATTCCTTTGAATGGGCATGAAGTTGCATTGTTTTTGCTACACTGGGTGTTTTCAAAGCTTTCATGAACATGTTCGTTAGTGCAAATGGTTTCTCAGGCTATTGATTACAGGCCTATATGTGTGTTTACGTTGATGATAGGAGCTCAAGGAAGAAAGTTTAGTTTTCCATCAAGAAAGCCCTCATGCTTGCATTTTAATGTGGTTTGGGTGCAGTTCCTTCTGCCCTGTAAAAGTGTTTCCTTGATTCATTGATTGGCCAAGTAAGATCTTAACACACATACAGATGTGAATATTCTTTGCAATGTGTAGAGTATATGCAGAATATTTGCTGCTTACTTGAAGCATCTTGTGATGTCCAAGTTAGTTAGGTAGCAGTCTGCTGTAAAGAAAATTTAAAGTACTGTTGGGAAATGACAAAATATATGTGGATTATATGTACGCTAAGTAGAAAATCATGCTAAGATCAAGTTAGGATGTGTCAAACTACAGATGGTTAACGAAAATGGAGGGTTTTCAGAGCACAAAGAGTAAGGAAATACCTGAGGCTCAGACAGCAGCTCTGCAGAGCAGTTTCAGATTCCCTGTTGTTGATTATCCCTTTGACAAACACGTGTTAACACACTGTCATTTATCCTATCAAAATATCAGCAGGGAGAGCTGCATCACCACCAGGGAGTTCTGCCGCTGCAGCAATCATCCCCATTTGGACAGCTATTTTACGATCTTTACTGCTTTACCATTTTTATTCATAATCAGCTGTTGACAACAAACCCATTAACTGATGATGCGAGAGCTTTTGCAGCAGGATCAGCAGCCACCCTTCTCCACTGTGCTGCTTTTCTGTGAGCCCAGGCCTCCCCCTGCCAGGCAGGCAGAAATCTCTGCTGCAGCTGGCTGAGCTGAAGCGTGATGAATTACTGCAGCGATGTGTCAGTGGGGATGGCAGAACTGAGTCACCGTGTGCCCGCGCAGAGTCCCCCGCCTGTTCCTGTGCAGAGCATGGGCACCTCAGTAAGGACTTGTGCTGTCTCCTCCTGCTGAGATCAAATTAAACCTCGCATAGATATGAGTTGTGGGATTTACCAGAAAGGCAGATTTCTGGCAGGCGTACTGCACTGCCAGTGCTGCCCTTGCATACGTGAGGAATTGCTGGATATGGATGCTTCTGTTCCCATAGGCTTTTGGCACAGAATTCAACCTCCTAAATGTGTTGATGGTAGAGTCTATGCTGTGTATTAGGCGTAAGGCTTTGGAGGCTGCTTAAAAGCCACAAGTCAGCAGAGAATTGGGTTGCTAGGATTTAATCTTAGTGTGGTACTGTGGAATTGAGGTTGTGTTTTTAGTCTTGGAAATGCTGAAAACTGACATGCAGACTTTTACACCTCTACTTCACCCCTTGACACTGAGAGCACGGAGCCTGTTCTGTAGTCTACCAAAATAAATGCAACAACCTTCACATTGAGCCCTGGGTAAAGGTGTGAGTCATACCTGGTGCTATCTGAGTGGCAGGAAGAATCTCACTCAGGCTGAATTAAAAACAAAAAAAAAGAAATGCTAGCATCCCTCCCTTCCCAATCCCCTGCCGAGGTATATCCAGCATACAGCCCGTGTTCCCAAGAACAATCTGTTCTCACGGCTCCCAAACACAAGAGGAGTACCCGGGGCTGGGCTTCTGCCAGGACTGATAGGACGCCTAGAACGTGTGATCCCCATGGGAAAACAGTGGGGTTTACAAGGCAGCTGGCTGCCTCCCTCATCTCTCCCACACACTGATTGTTTTGCAGTGTTCATAAAGCATATTTGTGTTCAAATGTCTCTGCACATGAAGGCATACAGTTATTCTGCCTTACTTTTCATAGTCCTGTGCAAGCTTTTACTAATTTATGATAGGAAAGCCACAAGACGGTTGCTGCTGTTGCTGTTACAAGCCCATGCATCCTAAAGGAAGAGGGAGGTTTTTAGAGTTTTTACTTTTCTTCTAATTGATCTCAGATTAAAATTTAAACACTTTTAAACATTTAAAATTTGAGTCTGAAGCAACCACAGTAAAAAAGAAAAGTGGAAGAAGTTTGCATTTAAAGATTCACTCAAGATTTCTATGATGAGAATTATTAAAGTTCTTGGATCCTTGCATTATACCACAGTAAAAAAATGAGGTAGAGGAGCTTTTTACACTCTACCTCATTAATCTCTACTGCAGATTAGACTTGCATATTGAAGAGGTACAATGCTGAGGTTTCTGGAGGGAGCTGACAGTGAAATTACACTTTTCATCACTAGAATCCCAATGAAAGTTTTAGGAATTTAAGTTTGTTCTGCATAATTTTCAGTGTGGTTTCCTTCCATGCCTCAGCCTTCAAAGATACCAACCCCAGCTATCCAGCTCCTCTCAGATCCCAAAGCTGTATGAATCCCCTGACTCCAGTGACTTCAGCTCACTCTTTCTTAGCTCACTGATTTTTTGAAGCTTGCCTTGCCAAGGTATTGCACTTCGTTAACAAGACGGGAAGTGAAAGGCCAAGTTAAAGGTGTGTAATGGTAGAATAGGAAGCTCTGGGCACTGAGAGTTTTATCCCTGAGAAAAGGGTTCTTTGAAGAGCCAAACTGGTAATCATAGTTTTTGAATAAAGCGTCCAATTAAGCATTCCTCAAGATTCAAATGTTGCACGTGCATGATGTTGCACTTGTTGTACTAAAACATGTCTTGAAGTTGTTTTAGTTCTAGTGTTTGAAATTCCTATGAAGAGGCACTGAAAACAGTTTACAGCTCAGTCACATCTCTGATTTATATCAGAAAGGAAGTATAAGGTTACTCTTGGGCACCCCTATGTTTTATTCAATATGCACTGTCTTGCCCATTGTGATGCTGAGGTTTAAGCATAGACATAGGAATTATCAACTGTACTGGAACAGCTTACATTCTTTCTTGTTGTCATTTGATGACCTTCAGTTCCATGGGCTCAATCTTGGACTCACCTTAGGCTGGAAATCTTGTGACAAAGGTGGCCTTGACCCTCTATTGACTGTGTGACAGCAGAAACAGGACACTTCAATTTTTCAGGGATATGGTATTTCCTAGGCCTTAACAGCACAGAATGAAGTAATTAATTCTGCACTTAATTACAAACCCTAAAACTTTTTACACTATCACATTATGTGACAGATATGGCTGAAGCTTACTTTTTCTTTATTTCGTTTAAGATGAAGGTTAATGATACAGGGATGTAAGCAAGCTTCTCTCTTCTGCTCATGTTGCTTTTGGTGCAATACTGTCTAGTTATTTAGGACTCCCAAGTCAGAGCTCTAGGCTGTCTTCTGCACAGATGTGAGGCTGTTTCTGATGCTAAGATGTGCTTTAAAGGTGCCTCAACTATGACAGTAGTAACAACTCCACAAGAATGGTTCATCACTTGACAAGCAGTTACCAGAAGCTGTAGTGCTTTCTGACCTTAAGTCTCTTCTATGATGATGTGAGCTTTTGTCTGAGGGATGGTCCAGGATCTAAGACAATGCTTATACAAGTGTATCTTGCCTGAATATCTGTCTCATTTCCAGCTACACAAGCAAGTGGAACACAGCTGGCACAAAATGAGAGTTCGGATGCTTCACCCACTAAGGGATGGTTTGCTTCATCCACTAAGGGATGGTCGTCTTCTACAATTTCTCTACAAAAACCCACTTCTGCTCATGGAACCTCAGGTAAGTCTTGAAAACATACACTTTATTTTCCCATGCAAACAGTTAAAAAGATGCAAATAGTTTTGAATCTTTTCTTCATTTGTTGTGCTTTGTCCTGGAATGAGGGCCACTTCTTTATTCATGCAGGGTACACTGTGGCTATCTCATCTAGCTATGAAATTATGATGAGCTGTGGGTGAACTTCAAAACATTCAGTTGGGATACTCAATGTCATTACAGGAGGATATAAATTACAAAAGGTAATAGTAATCTTTATATATGCTGTATGTGGTCACTGTGTAGCACTGACTGCCAGAAGAGGTCATGAAGATAAATTCTCTGGTTGCAAAGCACAGAAGACAAAGGAGAAAACAGCTACAATTTTTACAATTATTAATAAATCTGGAGGGCAAGTTAATGCATATTACCAACTAAATGACATTGTTCAAAATACAATATGATCACATGCAAGGTCAAAAAGGTATTAATCCTTCCCAACTTCCGTTTTGTGATATTGTTTTTCTGGGGGTGTGTTGATGTATTTGGCCACTAAACAACACCATGGTGAGTGTAGATGCCAGGTCATGAGACTGATCATTTATTATGCTTCTAGCTGGCTTAACTTTCCCAGATTTTGAAGAACCACTTACTCAGGTTTTCTCAATGTCTCTTGGGTCTTTGCTCAGTATTTACTTTCGGCTACATGTGTGCAAATCCAACGAGGACATTCACTTTGTTTGCATATCCCAATTATTATTCATGTTTAACATCCCCCAAGGGATACAAGACTTTTTACAACCTCTGGATTGTGTTTGTGGGAGATAAGCATGCTCGTGTACTGTGGTTGTTTTTTTTTAACTCATAGAGGATAGGACTGGATATAAAAGTGGAGTAATATCATATTCCCAGTATGCAGTAAAGCACTTGGAAACATGTAAAAAGATATTATAATAATAGACATTTTATGGAAGTTGAGATTTTGATTTTTTTTTTTTATTTTTTTTTTTTTTTTTCATTTTTAATCCAAGGTCACTGATTTAGGGAAGATTCTTCACAATTATTTCAGTAAGCCTATGCCCCATGATGCATATACTGTGAGCTGTAGTGACTTGATTATTGTGTTAGGTTTTGTGTCTTTTGGTAGACATGTGCATGGCATGGAAACCTTATCATTGGTACACTCTGATAAAAGCAGTAAATTACAATATTTTTAATTAAAGGGTCTATCTCACAGGTAAATCCTCCCGGTTAAAATGAAATTATAATACATATCTGGCTATGGATCACACGTATTGAAGTACCTGCTACATTGTTTGTATAATTATGTTTTACATTTAAAATTTGCCCAGAAAATTTCACAACTTCCTTTCACAACTTCCACAACTTCTGTTTGTGGAAGTCATCATCTTACCCAGCTCACCTTGCTGTAAAACCACTAAATCTTCTTGAGCTCAGGAACTACCCAAGATGCCTGGCTGAGAAAGAAAGTCCCAATCTATCCAGGGGGGGTCAGTCTAGGTGCTTAGCGTAGCCAATACCCTGAGTTCCCATAAAACTGCCATTCCAAAATCACTTCCTCCTGCACCAGGATTTCCACATTTACACCTTTCCTGTCTCCTCATCAGCTCCTTGCTTCTTTCTTGCACCTTAAACATGCAAGAAATTCCATTACTCACCATGATGAGTTAGGTAGCTTATCCTGAATGGGTGCACCTTAGACCATCCTTGCTCCATTATTCTCTATATACATTAAAGACTTTAAGAAAAAAATGTTATGGTTCTCCCTAAATAGATTTCTTCTCCTATGTGAAATAACCCAGGGCCAAGGGAAGCCTTATGCTGTGCTGCACCCTAATAACTTTTAAAGCAATGCAAGCATGAAGCCAGTTGTTTCATTCTGTGCTGAGACTAGAAGAAATGCTGACTCTGTCACAGCTATTAAATTATTTCTTCCCAGCTCTTTGGAATTTCATTCAGGGGTTTACACAGGGGATAGCAGAGCTTGCAAGCCAAAGCCACCCAAGCCACAGCTTCTGCATGAGAGCTCAGAGGAAGACAAATTAATGTGAAATTGGTCAAAACCAGACTGATTCTATTTGGTATGCCGATCAGAATAATCCATTTGGCTAACCTCAATGCAAAAGAACATATATAGTTCTGAGACCATTTTCCATCTTTAAAAAAAATGCCATTTTGGTGAAAATGTCCTTTGTTGCTGCAGAAATAAAGCACATTTTGAAGAGAAACTTCCAATCTGCTATATCAAAAGATCAGGGTGTGGGAGGAGTGCCACAGAAAGCTGGAGAGGGACTGAAATGAGTGGGGGAGCCTAGGAAACAACTTGGAGAAACATCAGAGAACACTATTGCTTGCTGTATTAAAGACTGAAACCACCACCACGGAGGAGGGGCTGCGTAGTGTTCACCCAGGCTAGAGAAGGCAATAGGGATTGTTTGGAGTGAAGAGCAACCTGCATGCTTGCCATTAACACATACGCTTCTTTAACTTTGGCTGTCATGTGTAATATACCTCCTACTCATGCTCCACCTCCGCAGAAGCTTGCTTGCTGATATTTAATTCTCTCCTTTTGTTTAATTAACAAAAACTTGGAGATCTAATGGATCAGTCAGGGTCTAAATACATCCTTGGATTGCAAGTGTTGTAGCTTTTTTTTTCTGTGACCTAAACAACAAAAAAAAGTCATAAAGCACAATGAGCTGAAGTTCGCCAAGCAGGGTGGTAAGATCAAATGATCTATTATAATAAACTGTCAGATGAATCAACCTGCTGCATCTATTGGTACCTTTATTGCACTCCTCCAATTATAAATCCTACTCACTGGATTCGCGGGAGGCATTTCCCTCAGAAACATTCTTATGAGTAAGACAAGGAGGGTTTGACTCTTTCTGTACGCAAGCTATGTAGGAACTCTGGATAATGATATTAGGTAAAAAAATCCCACTGTATCTTCAGCTTCTTCACAAAGAAACATACACAAAAATCAAAGTGCATGGGAGATGGAAAATACAGCAAAGCCTCAGTTAACACACTCACTCTATAGCATAGTCAGGGCAAGGAGGGTTTTTTAAAGTTCTTAATTTTGCTTTGATTGCTTTGATTTATACTGTGGTATCCCCTCTGAGTAATCAGCCAAATTTATTCATTTGTTTTGCTAATGAACACAGTTTCATGTGGCTGCCCTCCAAAAACAGAAGCAGCAAACTGCAGGGTATCCAAGCTGCTTAGGTAGCGGTCATTGGAAAACAGTGTGGAGAGGCTCGTATTGGTCTCTTTCTCCATCTGTCATGCTTCTAGCCAGTGCCGAACTGGCTCGGGCAGGTATTTTCAAATCAAACCACTGTCACGTGCCAAATTCTTTATCCTTGTTCTCCTTATCATACAATGAGGACTCAGCACAGCCAGTGTTGCACACCTCACTTCTCATGATGAATCTGGAAATCTTCCCAGATTATTTATGCAGAGCATCTGCCCCCTATATCTCACTGCCCCAAAGCATGTGGTAAGCTCTGAACAGGCAGCTACAACATCTATAGTAACTATGTTAGTAAGTGAAATGCTGCCTTTCCTTCTGTCCTTCTCTTTCTATAGAACAGCAGCATGTGACCCCACCACCAGAAAGGGAGCTGGATGGTTATTTAGAAAATGCAAACTGAAAGCACCTAGCACAGCTTTGTTTGTGTGGCAGGGCTGAGCAATCTGAACAGAGGGTGAGCTGGCACCTTGCTTGCATACTGAAGATGGGGGAGAGAGAGAAGGGCAGGAGATTTTTTTCTGTTTAATTTTTCATGCTTTAGCAGGATCTGGGTGAGATATCTTTGGGAAAGATGCTTGTAGTGTTGGTGTTTGTAGATGTGTGCCATCTTTAAAGAATAACAGAGATTCAGGAGACTCCTGCAGTACCTGAGGAAGAGCAGGGGCTGCTGTCATGTTTTCTACCTGAGATCATCTCTGCTGTCTGGTTTTATTGCAGTGGTGAGGTCTGGGCAGGATAGCAGTGTGTTTTTTGGTTGTGCTTGCAGGCACCTGACCCTTCCTGTTCACAGAGCCCACTGTCACCTGCATACAGCTTTGACAAACCTTAATTCTTCAGGATGAACCTGGATACTGTCTCGGGCTTGACATGGTTTTGCTGTTTATGTATTTGCTCTAATTTGAGCCAAGGTGGTTCACTTTGTTTGCATGAGTGAAATTAAGGGTGAATGTATAATTATGTTACAATCATGGGGGGATTTCTTGGGCAAGCTTAACTTTCCTCAGACTGGGGAGACAAGGTTCAAAGTTTCACAGACAAGTGACCTATTTGTAAGACCTGACAAGGTCTTCTGCCTTTCTCCAGGAATATGCACACACAGGACTTTACAGTTTGCTTCCTCCGCCATTGTGGTGTGATCACATGGTACTTTTTTCCATGGGATCCCACTCCTTATAGGCTGAAGGAAAGGCAGTATTTGGGTGACAAGCCATCATATCATATTTGCATGTTTCCTTAATGCCAGACGTGTGTTCTGCTGCATTCTGTACTGTGCATCATTCCAAACCTCCTTTGACAGGCGAGTTATTAATTTCCCCAAAGCTTTTCTTTGGCTTTTGTTGTTAGTGTTACCCAAACACACTATAAACATTGCTTAATGAACCATTACAGAGATCCTCTCTGCACAAGGTGACATTGCTTTTTGCAGATGGATTGGTGACATGAAAAAAAGCTTAGGAAAAATGTCTGCTCTGAATCCTAGGAAGCCAGGGTAAGATAACTGTACACCTTCAGAGCACTTAGCATTACTCATATTTAGTATGCTCAAGCAGAGCTGTTACTGCTGACTTTTGAGTACTTGGCTTTTCATGTATGTTTGTGATTAAAATGCAGCTAAAACTTTGTCCCATGTATCATTAGCAAAAGTGGTTATTTGCACCCCAGTGGCTCAAGTGATCCATGTTTCTAACTGGGTGTAGAGAGGATGAAAAACAAGAGCAGCCATTCAGGTTTTCAAAGAGTACATTCACAGCAATAGGATGTGTTTCATTCATGTTACAGCTCCAGTAGTAGTAGCTGTCTTTGTGCAAAGCATCAGTCCAGAGCACAGAAAGTGTAGCCAGGGCGTAAGAGTGGATTTGTACTCCCCTGGTACCCCAGATGAAGGAGGAGCAGCACTGCAACCCCGGACACTTGGGTAGGAGGCTCTATGCCTGACTGGATTTACAGCTGCCTTCACGCCACTCCCTCTGTGGTCTCTCAGACTGGCGCAGCTGGGACTCAGAAGATGTGCTGATGGGTTATGTCCTCCCAGGGATTGGATAGTATGCACCACATTTCCCACAGATGCAGTGGCAGCAGTGAACCCTGAAGAGACGCAGCAAGGGGGTTTTCATGGTGCCTTCCAGCCTACAGGAAGATGACCAAACACTGTGATTTATACCTCAAAATAATGAGTGACTGCTGAGGACATAATGCCTGAGGGATTTTTTTCCATGGTAGCTCCAGTAATCCAGTGTGAGAGGCCTCACCAGGTGGGCAGAGTGCCAGTCACTCGTCCCTGGCAAGACACAGCCTGTCTTGTACAAACAGATAAATGATTTGCTGCCAGTTCACGCAGGTGTCTATTCTCAAAGACACGGATGAGTTAAGTGCCCAGCTCCCTTTGACTGTAGACTGATTGCAGGAGAGATTTAATGCAAAGTAATAAAAATCACTCTGGGAGTGATGGTTGCCTGTGGCTAGCCTCCAAATGTGAAGTATTCACAGCCGCCTTAATTTCCAAGCCTGCTATAGTCTAGACTAACAGAAGCAGCAGCATGCTAACAAAAAGCTAACAAAAAATTGGTGTTCTGCACCAAAAACTTCTGAAGTGACTGGGGGAAGCTGCCAGGGGTGGGCCAGTAAGCATTTTGCACAGCACTCTGCAAGGTCCGTTTCTTCCACACTACCAGTGACTCTTACTCCTGCTGCTCGACAGCCTGCTAGCCAAAAGCACCAAGATAATTAATGAAGATTCATTTTTAAAGGCTTTTGTGACAACTGAAGACATGTCTCAATTAGGCATTTGAGTTTCTTTTATTAAAATGCTTATTTGTCACTTAGATGCCAGCTATTCACTCCCAGATGCTTAGTTGGTTTTGGCAAGAGGAATTTCTTAGGAATGTATCAATTAATGCAGGATTTTCTGATCTTGAACAGAATAACAGCCTAGAATAGGCTGGACTTTGGATTCTGTTCTCATCTGTAAGGGATGTCTGCAGACTTTCACAGCTCAGACTTTCTAGGCTGAGGAACAGTGTCAGTCAGTTCTGGGGCAGCATTGCTTGTGGATTTACTGAGCCTGTCAGTTTGTACAATGTGAAGACTCTGGACATCTAAAACTGATACTAACAAACCTGTTCCTTCTGTTTTATTGCAGGCCTTCACATGAGTTCACCAGCAGAATCCACAAGTAAGAGCTATAGAAGAGTTTGCTCTGTGCGCACTGACAAAAAGGGCTGGTGTAGTGTGGGATGGGGGCAGCCTGAAGTGTAGTATGGAGAAGCAGAGGAATGATGCTCAACTTGTAGCAGTGCATAACTTTGCTGTGCTTTCAGCTGAATGCCATTGTTGGACTAGCAGATACTGAAAACAGGGTGAGAGCACAAAAGACAAATCAGGTCTGGCATATTGCATGATGCAATGGGAAACCGATATAAATAGAGTGCTTACCAAGGAGTTTGTTCTTGTCAGTGGCTCTCATTCCTCGTCCTGTGGTTCGAAGCAGCAGCTCCCAGGGTAAAACAAGTTTCCTGTGCTAGTGGACCTGTATTGTCCTGTTTTCTTTTCTCTGGGCTTATCAGGAAACAGTCCCCTCTTTACTGGTCCCTGCCGTTCTTGCTCCTGCTGCCAGCAAAAGTTTGTCCCTCATGTTACCATGGTGGATATATTACTCCAATTAACTTTTATTCTGATCCCAGGCCATTCCACAGCTGGAAAATATCTTCCAGATTCACTTTCCAGATTCAGAGAAAGTAGGCAGGATGGGCTGGCTTGTAAGAAAATAGTTAACTGAGTTAAAGGCTTTAATTTCTTAATCCATGCTATTACATGTCTTATTTCAAGTAGTTAAAATGCTAACCTATGGATTTTCTTTCCTGCATTACTTACATCTTGGTCATTTAACAGAGAACTAGGAAAATAACCAATGGATTTGAATCCTCAGTTTTTCTCCTGAGGAGATGCTGCACAAATGCAGGGGTACGCTTTCATGGTTTTCAGGGTAATTTGTTTCTGTTGACATTTTCAGTCAGTATCCAGGATTACTCATTGCTGTGATAATTGCCTGCTTGCCATGTGTATCATGTAGTGTATCAGGTAAGGTAGTGAAAAGGGCAGTAGTATTTCCCTGAGAAATCCAAAGCAATCACATGGAATTACACATTCATAAGAATTACTTCAGTCACTTGATGATGGCTCGCAGTTTCCATCCTTACATTATCACCCCTCAGCAGACAGGCACCACAGGAGAGACAACTTCTGCTTTAAAGAAGCACAGTGATTTTTCAGAGATAAGGGTCTCAGGCAATTATTGTTTCCTACACTATAGCATCAGAATGTCTCAGGTGTGGCTGTATTGTTAAGGTACAACACAAGCATGCAGTAAGTGATCATTTTCCCCCAAAGGCTTCAGTGTCTGGCCAGACAAATGAAGGTGGGGGGAAGGGGAGGAAGGAAAGGAAATAGAGACACTAAATAATCTGCCCAAAATTCACACAGCTACACAACATCAGAACAAAAATGAAAACACAGCTCTCGCATCTTTCCCTTTGCACTACCAGTCAACCCACATAAATTTTTAAGTAGGACCACATAGCTCCTAGTTACCTGGAAAATCCAGTATACTGGCATATCCAGTGGAGAAACTAGGCTGATTGTTCTCTGCTTTGCTTCTCTTGCATCAGACAATGTAATCTTACATATCTAAACAAACTAGTATGTTATGAGAATGCAAATATGGGCAAAAGGAGAATAGTGAAGGAAAAGCAATCACCAAAACATTTCTCAATAGTGGGCCAGAGTTTAAAATCAGTGTACCAAGGAAGAGGGAGTCCTATATGGTTGGAACAAACAAACCTTGCTTGTTACTCTGATTCAGTGAACTAGAATTACAAGTCTTGCCTATACAAAAGTTCTGTAAAAATAGGGATATGTCATTCAGAGACTTAACAGAACAAAATTGTATTCTAGCCGTCAAAATGGCTCTGGGAAATTAGTTTTAAGGACTTGGTTAATTTCCTAGTTTCCAGACACCAATCTGAGCTGCCTTCTGCTCTTTGGAAGGGGAACTGTGCATCCCTACAGGTGCAGGGTGCGAGTAGGTACCTGAGCAATGGATTAGAGCCTGCAACAAAACCTAAGTGGTTCTCACTACTTATATACGGAGCTATACTCTCTACTAGGACCCCTGCTTAAGAGACCACCTTCCCTACCTTTCCCGGGCACCTTTGTTTGGGGGCCATTTCTGCTACTTAAATGAGCAGTGGCAATTGTCAGCCTTGCACTACGTTTGTCCAGCTGGTCATAGACTCATAGAATCAACTGGGTTGGAAAAGACCTTTAAGATCACCAAGTCTAACCATTACCCCAGGACTGTTACCCAGGGTCAGCTTCTTCAGCAGCAGTAAGCACATGTCTACTCAAGCCTCTGTCCAATATGGAATAAAATACTGTGTCCTGTATAGTGTCACTAGGGAAGCACCGAGGTTGGTGTTTTCTTTTTTTCCTCTGTGGAAATTCAGTGATTATTTTTTCACAGACTGTATCTAAGAAGGTAATAAATATTTCAGTTTGTTGATGCCTGACTCAAATTCAGATTAGCACCTGAAGGTAGAATTGCATTCCTTTAAATCCTGTTCTAAAAAATGTCCCAGAAGCTCCCAACAGTCATTGCTGTCATCAGATGTGGCAGAGAAAGCACACACATCCCTTTATAACATTCAAATCTCAAGAAAATCAACAGCTACTAATGTTGCACCTCTTTGGACTTCATCCAACTTCATATTAGCACATGTTTTTTTTAATTAGCAGTGAAATGCTTTGGTCATTCTTCTTTTGGAGACAGGTCTAATTTTCACTCTCTTGCTTGTTTATTTGCTTGTCAGAAGTTTTCCTCTAATGTTGAACATTACCTTAAACTCCTAAAAGTGAGAAAGTTTGTAGCTTGTAACCTGTAAGTGGACAAGCAGACGATCCTAGGGAAGACTGCACCCATGAAAAGTCTGTTTCTTCTAGGCCATACTAGATAAGCTTCTCCACCCCTCTTGCTTAGTTACCCAGGTGTTATTAGAAGAATTATAGATGTAGAGCACCAAATGGTTCTAGAAGTGGGAACACAGAAGTTGTTTGGGGAGGGCAATTTTTCAGGGGGATTTGTTCGGGGAGTTCTGACAATTACGTGTTAACCTGAAAGATTGTATTTCTTTTGCAAATATAGCTTTTTGCAGTCCTGTAAGCAGTTCTGGAAACAAGAAACTGCCAGGGAGTGATATCCACTATTCTAGTGAGTGTTCCTGTTTTATTATCCAGCTTTTGAGTTTTCAATCAATCAGTTTGGCTTTCCATGAGTGATTGGAATAGCGGAGAAATGAAGTTAGCAGTTTTATTTTCAGCCTTACTAGATGTAGACCCTATTACAAACCCAATATAACTGCCTGTTACAAAACTCCTCTCAGAGAGAAGCAGAGCTTAACAAGTTGACAAAACTCTCACTGGAGAGAGGCACAATTATTTCCCAGGACTAATCCAAAGCAATAAAATTGGGAAAAAAATGTGAACAGAATCATCCACTGTGAGAGAAGACACAGGGAAACATGTGAAAATGTTGTTTATATACCATTCTGAGTACATATTATATGAAGATATTGTTATGAATGTATTATTTAAATATACTGCTCATATTGTCATGAGAGAGAAGGACTAAGAAGGAGTCTTCTGCAGATTCGTCAAGCACTTGATGTTTGAGTGATGCATGTTACTTAATCTTTTATTTTAATATTATGCATCTCTAGGGCAAGGATGTTGCTGCAGATCTGCTATTTCCTACCCAAAGTACTGGCTTAGCAAAATATGTTTGATGTTTTTCCATTGCAAATCTTTCTCAGGGTTCTCCCTCAAGTTCTGCAGATGCCCCCCCACACACACATATATATGAATATTAAATATTAATTGCATCAAAAGCAATTTACTGGGTGGGCATGACGACTGATGCTGTAGAAGGTTGTGGGAATGCAAGACCCAGCCTCCACCAAATATAACTTCGGCTGCATTTAAATGTGGCCAATCACTGCCAGAAAAACAATAAATGGGGAGAAACTGGGCTTATATATTTCCCTGGGAAAGCTTCTCATTACATAATTCTTTCCTTTTTGCTTCTTGGCTGGGAAACACCTGTCAGGAAATGGCAGATGGTGGGAAATAATAAAAGGAAAGAAGTGTCCTCATTTAAAAAGGAGATCTTTCACTTTTTTATCCCTGGTTGTAAGTGCTGTGGGGAATGTTACTGGATTATGTAACTCCTTGGTGTCTTACTGGGTGTACAACATTAAAAGAGAAATAATCGCTTCAGTTGCTGAATTTGGAATGAGTCTTGTTTTCAAAAAAGAGGAAAAAAGAAATTGCATGTATCAAAAATTTATTCCTGAAACAAGACTGTTTTGCAAAGCTTTTGGGACCAGTCAACACTGGGGGAGAATCGTGAATATTTTGATGGAGATGATGGTGTCGGCTCCACAGGGCAGTGTTAAGTGTCAGGGAAGGACTAAGGCTGGGGAAAGGAAAGTGCCTAAATCCTCCCTCCACAAAGGCTGTAAGCCTGAGGCTCAGTGGATGTGGGAGAAATAACATGAGCAGCTGGTTACCTCGCTCCAGAGAAGTCAGTAATGTTTGATGAAGTGGAGCTGGTGCCTCTCACCTTTGTGCGTGCAAGTGCCTGTTCACGGAGACAGTGCAAGCCAGGGCCAGCAGGCAAAATTATGTTGTTCTTCTTTTGCAGGCGTTATCTTGCCAGTTGTCATCACCTTGATAGTTATTACCCTCTCTGTCTTCTCCCTGGTGTCTTTGTACAGAATATGCCAGAAGAAAACTCCAGGTATTTGGCTTGCTTTCTCTGAAGGGCAAAAAGATCAAAATGCTTTTTATTATTAAAGATCTCTGGGGTCTTTTTGGATTACCTTAGCCATAGATGTTGCAGTAGTCTGATAGGAAAGCTTCTTGTATTTCAAAGTATTTTGCCTAAAGTAGGAAAATAACACTTCATTTTCAAAATCAGTAGGAAGAACAGAGGGAGCAAACATGTCTCTGATTTTTTGGAGAATATATAATGCCGTAAAGCTTTTTGTTCACGCTTTTGCAGCTACAGAGAGCTAACAAACAGCTGTGCTAACACAATCAGTCAATCAGGTAGAAAAAGACAGTGAAAACTAAGTTTGGAGATATTGTTTGGCAAAATCACTATATTTATTTTATCTCTGTTCTAGATACAAGCAAAGGAAAACCAATGCTTTCTTTTAGGAAATACCTGATATATACACACATACTCATGTATGCACTACATATAAGTAAAGTTTTCCAGTTACAGTATAATGTACATGGGAACAAAATCCCTGAGCAAGCAGTGTTTTCAGAAACATTTTGATAGAGCCGCTAAAGCCAGTATGTTTCACTGCTGTCCATGAAACATTAAAGACAATGGGGTGTAATTCCATTAAATTCCATTTGCCTAATGTTTCAAAGAGTTGCCTGAGTAGACCACAGGCAAGTGTAATTCTCCATTAAATGAACACCCAGATCTGAATCTAGACTGTGTTTTATTTCTCCCTGTGAACTGGCATGAGTTAGGAGACCTGTGCGAATTTTCAACTGTGAAATCACTGGGACTTGGAAATACAAAATCACAGCAGGGTGTTGAAGCTGTAGGCTAACAGGGTGTCACAACCAGTTTAGCCAATGACATGGAAAACCAGTCCCAGATAAACAGAAGAAGGTGTGATCTCTGCTTAGGAAATTATTGAATATTTGGACTCAAGAGGTGAAGGTATGAGGTGAAGAACATTTCCTCACCAGCCTCCCCTATGCACAAATGTCAGCAGGCATGGTACTGGCAAATTCACTTGGAAGCTAGAGTAGATAGATATCTGTGGTGCTTCCTGTAGGATTTGCCTGGGCCTACCCAGTGTGCTTCATCTGCGGATGGAGAGTTCTGTGCCCAGTGTCACAGGGCTAGAGTTGGCTCTGTGTCTCCAATGTAACCCCCTGGCCCCATCCATCTGCCCACACTTGCACATAAGAATAAAATACATTCAGTATATGATTCATTTTTGGAGAGAAACCTATTTGTCATTGACAGGGAAGACAGGCTCTGATCTCAGATGTCATGCCAGGTTAAACCCCCCAGAGCGTACAGCCTCACAGTTTGTTCCTTCACTTCCCTTTTCCTGTATCTCTTAGCTCAGTCGTTACATACTGGAGAGCGATTGCATGCTCACCTCCTGTGTGCCAGCTACCCGGGGACTTGGGAGCTCCAGGGAAAAATGTGCTCTTGCTGTGCTCTTGCACAAGTCACATATCATTCTCCCTTGTTTCCAGAAGTATCAATTTGAACAGTATCAGTTCACTTTCATAGATCACATGGTTATCTTTTGGGAAGACGAACTAGAGAAGTAATTACAATTCAAGCTGGTTGATTATGTTAATGTGCTTAATGCAATAACAGAAAATCACAACTAAGCCTTCTGCTAGCAACTGCAATAGCTGTTTACTTAAGTGAATTCCAGCAGTCAAAATTATATTAACTTTTTCCTTCTTCCAGAGAGACAAGAGAACAGCACTGAACAGTAAGTTGAATCCTGTCTTTTCATTGCTTTGAGGTCTCTCATGAGGCACTTGTGAGTGCAGTAGATTCTGCATGAGATTTACTTTGATCTTTTTCTATTTAAGCATAATAAGTAGTTGCTACCCCAAAGAGAAATATCCTATTGAAAATGATGCACTTGCAGATACTGTACACTGGTATGCATGATAAGCATGTTTCAGCATGGATAGAAATATGATGGCTCTTAATTCTTCTTCAGGTGATATTTTGAAATGGATAAATGTTTTATGCTATGCCACAGGGCCCATTGGCCCAGTCTTTTTTCTCTTCTTTTTGATTTTCTGCCCTACTGATTTTTATCTTTTTTTCCCCCATCCTTTCTCATCCTCCTTCTTTTGTTCATGTTTTCTCTCTTTTTAATGTTTCTTACTCTGGATTTTCTCCTTCTTTTTCTCTTGTCCCCTATTGTTTCATGTTCCTCTGTCCCATATTCTCTCCACTAGTCCGTTTGCAGAGGCTCAGTTAGAACAGTATTGGCTAAGGAGTTTGAGGAGAAACTGAGAAAGAATCATTGGAAGATATATGGTAGAGGCCATTGAGTCTGGCTGTGGCCTCTATGTTTTGTATGTCCAAAAGCAACATTTGGGCTGCTGATTTACTTGCTAGCCCTGATTACCTGGACATCTAAAGTGACCCTTCCTGCAATTCAACATCACTAAAAGCCTTGTGTTGACAGAGTAAAAAGATGACTCCCTCTTTTCCCCAGATGTACTTCTTCTGTGGAGTGCTAGAGTGAACTCAGAGTCATGCAACTTGATTTATTACATATTTTAAGAGAAAGGTGTTTTCAAAGATATGGGTATATGGTGTTTTCCACCACCACAAGTTACACATGGTCCCATCCAAAGCCCATTCCAAGCCTGCCAGTGCAGACTGGCACAGGTGCTGCCTCCTCCATTTCATAATCTTAGAATTTTGTTTGTCTGACCAACATGCATGCCGTCTGCTTACTTGTTTTCTGACTTCAACAGAGCCCAGTCAGATAAAGAAGGAGTGAAACTTCTTTCTGTGAAGACAACTTCTCCTGAGACTGGTGAGTGTTTCCTCCATGCGTATGTCTGTCTCCACCTCTGAGCCTGGAGAAGAGCAGTTTGCAATGTCATTTGCAATAGCAAAACCATTTTCAGTTCCTGTCAGGTCAAAGTCACTGCAAACAATTCCTCTATAGTACCAATCCCCAGACTGGGAGCCTGTAGAGAAGCAGTGCAGCTGCACTGTGTGTTGTGTCTGTATTTGGGAATAAGAAGTATGACTGGTTTAGGAAAAGTCAACTTTTAGAATCATTGATGGTAAGTGATCTACAGCTTGGCATGTTCAGGAGTAACCATGATCATGATATTTATCAGCTAGATCTGGATAAACAAGCGAGTTTGAGGACTGGTCCCCAGGGCCAAAAGGTTTGGGAGCCAGTGCTGTATGTAACAGGGCTCAGAAGGAGTTGGTGTCAGCAGTGTTCAGTCAGCCCTGTACCCAGCCACCCTTTGCATTCAAAATCCTACTCTAATTGCAAAGTCCTTTGTCCTGTGCTTCAGTGATACAGTTTCTTACAAAATATGTGGTAATAAAATCTAAAGGAACAGAGGTTATAGATTAAATGCACAAAAGAAAGCAAAATCTCTTCCATATAAGCAATGAGATGGATGCAGTTACACGCTCCATGGGAAATAGAATAGTACAAAAGAAGACTGAGGCAGAACAAAATTCTGATTAATATGATTCCCATTATTTAAAAACAAACAAACAAAAACCTCTCATGGCAGAGCTACTCATGCTGAAACTTCTCCCATTCACCCATTGCTTCCTCAGCCATGCAGGTCCTACCTTTACTCTCTTGCTCTCGGCATCATCTACAGAAGACCCCAGGAAAAACAGCTTCATACTTTATGCTTTTTTAGGTATAAAATAGATTGACTGATAGCTGCTCTCCCTTTTCCCCTGAATTCTTGGGAAGCCCTCTGAAACACAGCACTTAATCTGAAGTATCCTCTAGTTGCTGGAGAGGCACAGTCTGCTCTCTCCAGCCTTCTCTGCAACTCCCAGAACCTTTTGTGCAATCCAGGAGACCCACAAGGTTTCTCTGGCAGCCCTTGCAACAAACCAGTCATGCAAGCTTCCTGCAGCCTTGCTGATACAGAGCAGTATGCTAGGAGGCTAGAGGGGGAGGAGAAGGGCCTGCTCCATTGCAAGATGCATCATTCTGCCCCACTGCTGTTGAGCAAATGCAAACTAGGCTTTGGCACTTCAGCAATTGTCCTTTCGCACTTAAGTGACTGCACTTCAGTGCTATATGATTTTGGATGGTTGGGTTTTTTTGGGGTTTTTTTTATGTCTTTGGGAATGGACTTTTAGCTTTAATTTAAGGAGTATGAAGTTGTGTATATGTTTTCATTTAAAATCATTGGGGTTTTTTTGAAAGCTGAATGAAGTCAGAAACTGGAATTGATAGACATTTATTGATTGATTCTGCCTTCATGCTGGTTTCAACAATAAAGTAACTTCATTGGCAGCAGCAGAATTATGTGTTTTACAGCAGGGTAAATGAGAAAAGACCCAGCCTCCCTGGTTACTGGTTTGTTTGCTTGGGTTTTTTTTTTTTAACCCACAAGATGAGGTCTGGTGCCTGTTAATCAGCTTCTGGTTCACCAACTGTCTGGATGTCTTCCATCCAGAGGTTGCTTGATATTCTTTTTTACTGAAGTATGATGTACGCGTGCTATAATCGGAAGGTATGAGTCATAACCACTTAGAAGACAAGATTCTTGCCCTCTTCTCATTAATACAATTCATATTTAAACTAGCTACCATTTTCTCTTGAATTCTTACATTTTTGTATGTTTCAAAATGAAACATGCTTTCACAGGAATAGAAGTCCTGTTTTTCCCCAGGATTTTAGACACTTTACTGCTTAAATGAAAAGCACTCTGAAAGAAGGGCCTGCTTTCCTACAGACATATTTGTAACTCATACTGGTATTTTTGAGTGTGTGAGGATGCCTGCCCATTTAAATAAGATTTACTTGCTGCACTAAAAGCTTGAGCATGAAAGCAAGTGTTTCTTACAGCACAGATAGAAACACTGTATTGAGAAATGAAACAGACATTGAGAAATGTCTGACTTGTGGTCCTTCAACTGAAAACAATGGCACTGCATAAACTTCTTTACACGCATTCTTCCTTTTTCTTTTTAGACGCATAAAATCCAGCTCAATTAAAAGATAAATCCATTGTCCAGCTGCTTAGGAATTGTGTGTTGTAGCCACCCCTGTTTGCACGTACCAACAAAACTACAAAAGGTTTGACTAAATCTAGAAGGTTCTTAAGAGCAGCCTTAACCTTACAGATAGACCTACATCATCCTTTCACTATCAATAGGGTGCTCAGCCACCTAAGGTCAAGCATATATACAACAAAGTTCTGCTTTGACGTGTTCAAATTAAGCTTTATTAGAAGTATACATTATTTTTTCTTTATTTTCACTTTTTATTCCAAACAGAATATTTTGAGGTTATGTAATTGTGTTAAAACTGTGTAAAAACATATGAACTAAAAGTTTTGACCTACAAAGTGCTCAAGCAGGCAACTTAGAAAACCCCCATGTCAGTGTTGTGCATGATCTGTCTTGATCAAAGGATATGGTAAGTTTTATCTTTATTTTATCTATCTAAAAACTAAGCCAGCTGCACATAGACAGTTGAAAGAGATATATGTGTCCAGAGGGCTATTTATCGCTTCTGCCTTGGACATGTATCTTGAACTGGAACGAGCTGACCTATTGAGGTCCATTGACTATTGAAGGATCCTGTTTTAGGCCTTCTAAAATTAGGTTCTGACTATAAATTGAAAGAGAAAAGAAAGACTCCTTTTTCAGAAGCATAGCTGAATTCAATTTAATCAAGAATATTATTTCAAACACCTACCATTAATGTGAAGGAATACAGGAGAAGAACAGCGTTCAGTTAAGCCTGGACTAATGTTATGATTTTTAATGGAGCCATATCATCAAGAACACCATGTAAAACTGAGCTTTAATATTCTCATTTTCTAATACTCTTCTTAGAAAAATAGCTTTTCTGATGCTATGACCTGTGAGGCACAACTGGCTGGGAATCGATGTAAAGTAAAAAAACAGGCAGGCAAAACTAAACTCCTTGAATTTTTCATGCACGTTTGCCAGTGAACTACAACACCTGATGTGAGATAAGCGCCTGTACTTGCATCTTATGTGAAAACTCAGCTTGGATAAAAATTTTCAGGATACTGAATCATCTCATTTTACACTAACATAAAAAAGCAGGAATTACTGCAGCCATTCCATGTTGAATGTACAGGCATATTTAGGGTGACCCTTCCTAGGGACAATAAATGGTCTTCTACAATACAGAGCGATGGAAAATCTACCAGCAAAAATATTTCTTATTTGGGATTCACTATACCCCACAGAACTGCATGTTCAGCTTGTCAGTAGTAGATACGTTTCCCAAGAATATAAGATGGAGGGTTTTACTTGATGGCTAAGAGATCAGTACTGTCATCCATGATAGTAATGATAAAGTATTGCCTATCTTGAAAACATCTCTAACTTCTTCTGTAAGGGTTCTTGCGTGTTTCACTGAAAAGCAGCAAAGGTACTGAACACCTTTTAGAATTCATGAAAAATGCTGAAGGATGGAAATTCCTCAGTAACAGAAAGGTTGGGGAATAGAAATTGAGATAAGGCTACTCCATATAGATGAATGATGTGTGATAGAAATATTGATACCTGAGCAATGATGTGAAAATTTTCTTTTATGGCCCTTCCCTAGAGTACCCGTTCTAGAGCAGGTAAAATGTATGAAGCGCCTTTACAGTTGCAGCACACCAGTTCAATATTCAATATAAAGTCTCATATGAATGTGCAGGTGTCCTGGGTTCAGCTACAGCA